GGGATTTGTAGTAGATATTTTTACGGTTTAGATTCCGCATTTATATTTGGATTATTGCAGTTAAATCAGTTCTTCTTCATTAATTAAGTTTAAATTGTTAAAAAGGATAAATTGTTCTAACGTTGGCTTGCCTAGCAAGTAAAATGTTAGGTGACATCACGGTCCCGACGGTGGAAATTTCGGGTCGTGCCAATCGACCCCTCCGATGATCATATGAATGACATGTTGGGGCTTGTCTTGTTCATTCTGTTTATTTGAATCCCTGTTTCTGAAATGATTCTTAGCTCTGTCGCTCAGAAATTCTCGAAGATGCCCGTCATTGAATAACTGGGCTACTTCTTCTCTCAATTGTCGACAATCCTCCGTTCTATGGCCATGTGTACCATGAAATTTGCATATTTGGTTGGGATTCCTTTGTGTTGGATTGATTTGTAGAGGTCGAGGCCATTTAGTATCTTTGATGCGTCCGATAACCGATACGATGATGGATGCATCGACATTGAAGTTATATTCTGACAATCGTGGTACTTCTTTAGGTCTGGTATGCCTGTCGAAACCATTCTTGCTCATGATCTCTCGAGAGCTCTGACCTCGATCATTTCTCCTTTCACCTCGTACAGGGTTACGACTAGGTCTATTGCCCCTACGATCTCCATTATACGGCTGGTATCGATTTATGTTCGACCTTGGTTCTCGGTCGATATCCCTCTTAATTTTCTTGACGGGTCTGATAGGATAAACGGACCCGGAAGGAGCCTCGAGTTGGTCATCTTTGACCCTGATCTTCAATTGATACCGATTATGTACATCGGCCCAAGTGACAGCTGGGTATTCTATCAAATTCTGCTTCAACTGCTGCGAAGCCACCGATCTTCGAACATTGAGTCCTTGGGTGAAAGCTTGAACTCCCAATCGTTGGCGACCGATGGTAGGTCCGTCTGTTCCATTTGGAATCGAGACACGAATTCTCTAAGCAATTTGATGTCCTTCTGTCTTACCTTGAAAAGGTTTGATTTCCTTGTTTCGACCTTGAAGGCTCCGGCGTGTGCCTTTACGAAAGAATCTGCAAGTATAGCAAAAGAATCAATAGAGTTAGGTGATAAATTGTGGTACCATATCATAGCTCCCTCTGACAGGGTCTCCCCGAATTTCTTTATTAACACAGATTTGAATTTGTCGTCCTCTAGATCATTCCCTTTAATTGCACATGTGTAAGAGATGACATGCTCGTTTGGGTCAGTCGTTCCATTGTACTTAGGAATCTCAGGCATGCGAAATGTTTTGGGGATCAGCTTCGGAACCTCACTCGGAGAAAAACGTTTTTGTACGAACTTCTTGGAATCCAGGCCCTTCAATATCGAAGGTGCTCCTGGGACTTGGTCTACCCTGGAATTGTAAGTTTCCACCTTTTTGTCGTTAGCCTCGATATTCTTCTCCCCTTATTCTATCTGTTTCGTCAGCTCCTCAAGCATCTTTATAACTTCGAAGCTAGCCCTTCATTCACGTTCGTTTTACCTTTCTACGACCGATTCATCCCTGCGAGTGACTTCCCGGGGAGGATCGGGCTCAGCCCTGCTTGGTGCGCGGTTTTGGTTCTGTAACTGAGCTATCGCCGCCTGTTGAGCCCGTAACATTTCGAAGATCATTCTAGGTTGATCTTGTCTCCTTCAACATTTTGTGCGTTCCGAGTCACCGACTGGGCTCTACCACTAACGCTATTTTCGGGGTCGGTAGGCAAATTTGCATCGATAGCCACATGCGAATTAGCGTCGATCAGATCTGCGATCGAAATTCCAGAGGGATCAGCAGGCAGTATCTCGTTACCGGGTGCTATGTTGGTATTTTCACCTTGGTGACTCGACTCGTTGTCAACACGTAGAGGCGCTGATTGAGAGTTTGACATTTTGGATACTCCCAAGAACAAGTATAAAATAGTGTGTGTTACGAAAGTTAGTATCAGACAATTAATATTATCCTTAGCCCCACGGTGGGCGCCAAACTGTTTACCCAAAAAACGGATAACAATTAAATTTATACGCAGTTTTAAGGATACATGATATAACTTGGCACATATATATATATATATATATTGAAATTGACTATGAAAGAACTGATTGCAAACCAAACGAACCGAATAGCATTGGCCCTCGAGTTCGATCACCCTCAAACCAAGTGAAGATTCAACTGATATAAGAATAAAGTAACAAGATATTGAAAGCTAAAAGAAGGCAGTATATTGCTTTGTATTGCGTAAATATGACGTGTCTTACAAATGATCAGACTCCCTTTATATAGTAGGGGAGTCCTACTCTTGATACAATTCCAAATACAGTAAGGAATCTCATGATAGGCTAATTAGTCAACCTCTTCTTGATACGTGCCGGGATTTCCATCGCGATTCTCGCCCGATTGCAGATATTTTAGCTTTCCGTTATTTGGCTCGGTAAGCTTCCCTCGGTCTCGCTCGGTCTCGATCTTGCTCGGTCTCGATCTTGGCCGATCTCGATCTTGATCGGTCTCTGGGTCACGAGCTCAGCAATCTAACTTAGCACCACGGTTTGATATGATACGAGTTTGAACCTTGGCCTATCAAGTTCTAGTATCGATTAGTCATACGAAAGACAAGCCCGGTTTGACCGTATACAATATGGTTTGCACTAAAGGTACTAGGTTCGCCGAATATTTTACTGAAACTCTAGCTCCGCCCCTGCCTACCAGAATATAAAGAAATCGAGTAAATCCAGTCCAAGCCCTTGTGTTAAATCAATAGCGGTTTGTAGAAATACAGAAATAACCACGTTAATTTTGTTAATGTTTTGGCTAACACATTGTTAATAAAATTAGTATGGTTAAGAGGGAAGTTAATGACTAATCTGAGTCAAATTTAATTTGTTTTTATATTTAATAGAATTGTCAAGTCTAGACAAGCTATATACTAACTAACTATTAGCATGCAACAAGATAACGAAAGTTTAACCTTGTGAAATACTATTAAATTATTAATTATCTGTTGATATTTGGTACAACAACTAACAAAAACGCTTTGAAAATTCAATATCGGATTCATCTCGCTATATATATAAAAAGGGTTTATCATATAAGGTTTGCATGGCCAAAAGTTATCTCCATGATTATTTAACATAGTCATAATTGGTAACTTGTAATAGCCATTACCATAACTAAAACACATTCATGTAGAAAACAATTAAAAAATTTTGTTTCGGAGCACAGTTTTTTATTGTTGTTTGAGAAATGCTATAAAAAGCATCACAAATTATATGTTTCTATGAACAATAAATGAATAGCGAAAATAAAATATATAAAAAGGTCCCATCCGATAAAAATTGACATACTTGTTTGAATTCCTCATATGAAATCATATACTGGTGCATGTGCATCAACATCGTAGTACCATATATGGAAATTTTCAAGTTTAAAAGGGACTTTTCAACGTAATAATGTTTTGTACTCTTAACAAATAAAAATAGAAACTATATACAGTAGCTGTTATCACAAGAAAGGCATCAGATGTATGGCATTGTTGACCTCCTCAAGATATGGTAAATCGATTCAATTAATAGCAAAAAGTAGTAAAAATGTGTTAGTCTATTCTTGCCTCTTAAAAAACTTTATAGTATATTTTTGTGTTAGCACTTAGCATAATGGAGAACAGTTTCTGATTTTGTTTAAAAGAACTTTTTTTCTGAAAGAAAGAATATTTATTAAGATTGATAATAATGCTTGCAAGTCAAACAATATTTTGTTCAATGAATGTTATACTCCGGTTTAGCTCGAACGTAAATTGATTACCAGTTAGTATTTACTTGGAAATAATCTCTCAAATATCTAGCAAATTATAATTTTGGTTTTTGTGATATTTGGCGAAACACATTTAACATTCAATTAATTGATATGTACAGTTTTGATTTGGTAAATCTTTACAAATTTAACAAATTTTATATGATTACATTATTTGACTAATCATGTATTATGTTAACTTTGTACTATTATTTTATATTTGGGGGTAATTATAATTTTAAGTATAGTCTAAATGTAACATTATTAATATATAAAGGGAGCAAAAATATATTTCTTCCATGCTATACGAATTCTAGAAGATGAATTCACTTATAAACAGATGGAAAATCTTAATTTCCAGCGTCCGGGGACACATGATAAAATTGTTGCATTTAGGAGGTTTTACCTTAATGATTTTCATTTTCTAAAATTCCTAATAGTGTTCTAACAAGTTTTAGCTTTACGTAAAATGCACTTTACACGGTGGAACATTAATTATTCAATATTTGTTAATGAATTAATCAAAACCTTGGATCAACCCTCACATGTACAGCACGTGACTCAACCATTTCCTCACTTTTCCTCTTTACTAGAGTATGAAAAATGGTATACTTTACAAGTAACTAGTAATGTATGTACTATGTAGTACTCCATTTAATTACATTTATAATAATGCATACAAATATGTCAGTGTATATATACAGTATATTACCAAAAACTACCATTTTCTCTCTCATTTGACTCTTTTAACCCCACCACCCTTAAATATCACTTATTTCATCTTCACTATTGTTAGTACAACTCCATCACTTAACTTTCATACCATCAACAATAACTACTACAGCTAATGACTCATTAAGCCTAAAACACCAATTAGCTACTGAATTTACCAATATACCCTCCACCCCACCACCAAGAACCACCGTGCCCCTCCTCCCTAGGTGGGGCCACTTCCACCACCACCAAATTGGACCCCACATACCCCATTTCTTGTTTTCACTCTTTGATCATTTTTATCAAAGATCTATCCAACAGATCTGAGTGTCCCTTGTGCATTACGCGTTGAACTTTCCAAACTCTCTCTTTAATTTGTCTTTGTGTGGATCCCTTAGCTTCTTGTTCATTCATTCTCTGAGCCACCCCACAGCTCACCATATATAAATATTACTACTGACCAAGTAAAGAGAGTGAACCCCATTACTATTATTATTTCTATAGCTGGGGGTTTCTCTCAAGTAACAAGAAACGAATCCCAAAAAAAAAAAAGAACTCTACAAACCCAAAAGAGTCTTTTTCTTCACATCACCAAATTCTTGTTTTTTTTATTTTCCACACATTTATAATAATATTCCCCCCATCCCCACAAAAATTTTATTCATTACTATAATATAATATACTGGTATGTGTATGTTTATACATCATTTTCATTCATTATTAGTATTTCTCTAATTGAGAGGAGTGGTTGTTGTTGTTACTTGTAATGGGTGTTTAAAAGCAGTGTCATAAATAAAGAGGAGAAGAGAAGAATAATAAGGGGTTGTGCTTTTCTTGGACGTGTAGTGTAATGGGGGGTTCTCTCCTAATGTGCTAAGTGAAGAAGAGGGTATTATCTCCATTCTTGATTAAGTAGCTCAAGTAATGGATACTAAAGGGAGGCTAGTTGCTGGTTCACACAATAGGAATGAGTTTGTTGTCATCAATGCTGATGAGGTTGGAAGAGTAAGTGCTGCCTTTCAAAATCTTTCCTTTTCTTTTATTCATTTCTTTCACTTCTCAGTTCCATTGTGAGTAATTTCAAGGAGATTTGAGGTAAAACTGGCATTCAAAGTTGCTTTTTTTTTTTTTGTCGGTGGGGTGTTATTGACCACATTTTTGCTCTTTCTGTAAGTTACCATTTGCTCATTTCCTGTTTTTGTGCTAAAAAGGTGTGATTTTTGAGGATAAAGTTCACAACTTTTTCTTCCGTTTTGCTGGATTCTTAGATTTTACTCAAACAAGTTTGCACAGATTTTGGGGGGAGGGTGTTGTCTTCTAGTTCTTCACTTCAGCTGAGTAAATCCACTTGAGAAGATCCCTAAATTCATTGCTTTTGATTGTGCAATATCTAGATTTAACATGCCAAAATTGGCTCTTTTTGACCACCACTTTTAAGCTCCCTTGATTTCAGAGCCTGCTAAAGCTTATTACTTGCATTCTTTTTGCGCAAGTTTGTTACATTCCAAGATTTTTTTTTTATAATTTTTTCCAAATGGGGTTCTGTGAATTCCAAGCATGGAAATTCTTGATCTGAAGAGGTGTTGATATTTCTTAATTTTTTATTTATTACAGGTAACTTCTGTGAAAGAATTAAGTGGGCAGATTTGCCAGATTTGTGGAGATGAGATTGAAGTTACAGTAGATGGGGAGCCATTTATTGCTTGCAATGAATGTGCATTCCCTGTTTGCAGACAATGCTATGAGTATGAAAGGAGAGAAGGAAATCAAGCTTGCCCTCAATGCAAAACTCGGTTCAAGCGCATTAAAGGGAGCCCCAGAGTTGATGGAGATGACGAAGATGATGAATTTGATGACTTAGACCATGAGTTCGATTACCATGGTAACCCTCGATATATGTCTGAGGCTGCACTCTCTTCTCGCCTTGGCCGCGGTACCAATCATAATGCTTCTGGGCTTACTACCCCATCAGAAGTAGATCCTGCTGCTCTTAACTCAGAGATCCCTCTTCTTACTTATGGTCAAGAGGTAATCCCTCAAGATTCTCAATTTTTTGTTCTCACCCTATTGAATTTTGGCTAAAAAGTTACAAATTTTGGATTTGTCGCTTAGGATGATACAATTTCCGCTGACAAGCATGCTCTTATCATTCCACCGTTTATGGGTCGCGGAAAGAAAGTTCATCCTGTGCCTTATTCTGATTCCATGTCTTGTAAGTTAAATCATGTTTGTGCTACATTTTAGTTCTTTGACCAATTTTCCAGTAATAGAGGGCCTAATGTGTTTGATACTTTTGCAGTGCCTCCTCGGCCCATGGATCCTAAGAAAGATTTGGCAGTTTATGGATATGGGACTGTTGCATGGAAGGAAAGAATGGAGGACTGGAAGAAAAAACAGAATGATAAATTACAGGTGGTTAAGCACGGAGGCGGTAATGATGGAGTTGAGCTGGATGATCCCGATTTGCCCAAGTAGGTGTATGCGTTCCATTTTTTTTAACCAACCTCATGAGTGATCTACAGTTGTTGCAAGCTGTAGATATTATTGATTGTGCTGAAGAAAATACTACGGTTTTCTTACTTTAGTACGAGGCGTGAAAAGTTGGTCATATCACATGTGTATAAATATTTTTTATGAGGTCCTTTTAGTTGAGACTGCCTTAAGAAGTTTGACCATACCAGATGGCGATTTAGTCTCGTGCAGGTTACTGCACCTTTCAAAAAACTAATTCAGTTATCACTCTGTTTCAATAAGTATGTGAGAGGGAAATCTCATTAATGGAAATGGCAGCCACACTGAGCCGTTGATCTAAAGGGATACGAAATTTAACCATGGATAGATATCCATCCACCTTTTTGCTGCAGCTGCCGCAAACATAGTTTTAGGGCCCTGGCCCCTGGGGTAGATTTGCTTGTGACTTGGATATACTTGCTTATTATTGATCAAACTCGAATCTCTGCACTGTCTAATTGGCTTGGAGTTATTCTTAATGAAATGAAACATATTAAGAATCTTAATGACAAACAAACTTCCCAATGAAATTAATTACCGTTTTTTCTTAATAAAAATTAAGCAAATGTAAGTTGTACTTGCATGAAAAATGAAATGAAACATATTGGATAAATGTTGCAGATTAGTCACTTGAACTGAAGCATTTTTGTGCAGCATAGTTCATCTCTTTTCCCACTCCTCTTTTGTTGTTGTGGGTATAACATGTTGCATGTCCGTTTATTCCAGCGAGGACCTTACTTTCTAAAACCCAATCACTGCTTTATTTGAACATTCTTTGTATCAGTAAGATTTATCTTTCTTACTTTATCTCTGTTTGTAGGATGGATGAAGGCAGACAACCACTTTCGAGAAAGCTGCCTATTTCCTCTAGCAAGCTAAGCCCATACAGATTACTCATTTTAGTTCGTCTTGCTGTTGTTGGGCTCTTTTTCCACTATAGAATAACGCATCCTGTCAATGATGCATATGCATTGTGGCTGATTTCTATTATATGTGAAATATGGTTTGCGGTATCGTGGATATTTGATCAGTTCCCAAAATGGTTTCCAATTGTGCGAGAGACATATCTGGACAGGCTATCTCTGAGGTATATGCATAATATAATAGTGTGTGTCTGTGTGTATACATGTGCCTCTCTGGTCATGTCCTTACCTTTTAGTTAAATGTTTTTCTCAGGTATGAGAAAGAAGGGAAGCCTTCTGGGTTAGCCCCTATAGATATATTTGTTAGTACGGTGGATCCCCTGAAAGAACCTCCGCTTATCACTGCAAATACCGTTCTCTCCATTCTCTCTGTGGATTATCCGGTGGACAAGGTTTCGTGCTATGTCTCTGACGATGGTGCTGCCATGCTTACTTTTGAGGCTCTCTCTGAAACATCTGAGTTCGCAAGGAAATGGGTCCCATTCTGCAAGAAGTTCAACATAGAGCCTCGGGCCCCAGAGTGGTATTTCTCTCAGAAGGTTGATTATCTGAAAAATAAAGTACATCCATCGTTTGTGAGGGAACGTCGTGCTATGAAGGTGTGCAAGTTATCAAATTTTATGTTCATCGTCATTTTTCCCCGTATGGTATGACTATAAAGACGTCTTTGCTCAGACAACTTGCTACCATTCTTTTTGTGCAGAGAGACTATGAAGAATTCAAGGTTCGGATAAATGGGTTGGTTGCCACGGCACAAAAGGTTCCCGAAGATGGCTGGACCATGCAAGATGGAACGCCTTGGCCCGGAAATCTTGTCAGGGATCATCCTGGAATGATTCAGGTATAAATCTGATCTCTTTTATAGCCTAACTTCAATGGAGATATTTTAAGATTGTACTATTGTGACCTAACCTATTTTCGTTTTATTNCATTTTATGAAATTGAAAAGGTCTTCCTGGGTAATGATGGTGTCCGTGATATTGAAGGGAATATACTGCCTCGCCTTATCTATGTTTCTCGTGAGAAGCGTCCAGGATTTGACCACCACAAGAAGGCTGGTGCCATGAATGCTTTGGTAAGTCGTTGTTTGTTTCTTCTTCTGCCTCCCCTCCCTCTTTTTTTTTTTTAATTTAAAAAAAAAAAAAAAGCATTGGATAGGCTTTTGACCCTTTTTTAAAATGTGATTTTAGATGCGGGTATCAGCGGTCATATCAAATGCTCCTTACTTGCTCAATGTGGATTGTGATCACTATATAAATAACAGTAAGGCACTGAGAGAAGCTATGTGCTTTATGATGGACCCCACTTCAGGAAAGAAAATATGCTACGTACAATTTCCGCAAAGGTTTGATGGTATTGACAGGCATGACAGATACTCCAACCGCAATGTGGTCTTCTTTGATGTACGTAAGAAGCCTTCTTCTGAGGTTTTGCTATGCAATGTTGCAGTGTTTATATTTGTGCATAAGTATACCATATGCACTATTAGCTGCCTGACAGAAAGCTAATTTAATTTTATGCTTTTGCGTTAACAGATCAATATGAAAGGACTTGACGGGATCCAGGGTCCAATTTACGTGGGTACTGGATGTGTCTTCAGGAGGCAAGCACTTTATGGTTATGATGCTCCAAAGAAGACAAAACCTCCAGGAAAAACATGCAACTGCTGGCCGAAATGGTGTTGCTGTTGTTTCAGTTCTCGAAAAAAGCATAAGAAAGGGAAAACAACCAAGGATAACAAAAAGAAGACTAAAACCAAAGAGGCTTCACCACAAATTCACGCCCTTGAAAATATCGAGGAAGGAATTGAAGGTACGGAATGGACACCTTGAGAAGCCACCACTAATGGCTAATTTGTAGACTTGGGTCTTTAGATTAATGAATTTGGATCCTTTTCAATTTGCCTATTTGGTTAGCAAACATTCTAATTTCGAAGTTCCTCTGTCTTAACTTTCTTCTTTTTGGATCATATCTGTTTTACAATCTCTGGAACATGTTTCTTCCCTTACACATGGTGAAACTTAAGATTCTTGTATGTTCATTTGTTGTTAACTTGCTTTTTGCTGCAGGAATTGATAGTGAAAAAGCAACCCTCATGCCTCAGATAAAACTTGAGAAGAAATTTGGACAATCACCGGTATTCGTTGCTTCAACACTTCTAGAAGATGGTGGCATTCCTCCAGGAGCAACATCAGCATCTCTCCTGAAAGAAGCAATACATGTCATTAGTTGTGGTTATGAAGACAAAACAGAATGGGGTAGAGAGGTAAAAAAATATGCTGATATTTTTATTTTCTATAATGCATTCTGCATTTATTTGGTCTAACTTGTCATGTGCACCGCCAGGTTGGATGGATTTATGGATCTGTTACTGAGGATATCCTTACTGGTTTTAAGATGCACTGTCACGGTTGGAGATCTGTCTACTGCATGCCCAAAAGGCCTGCATTTAAGGGGTCAGCTCCTATCAATCTTTCAGACCGTCTTCACCAGGTTCTGCGGTGGGCTTTGGGATCTGTTGAAATTCTCTTGAGTAAACATTGTCCCATTTGGTATGGATATGGGTGTGGGCTGAAGCCGCTGGAGCGCTTTTCCTACATAAACTCAGTGGTCTACCCATTGACCTCTCTTCCTTTGATCGCATATTGTGCATTGCCAGCTGTCTGTTTGCTTACTGGGAAATTTATTGTTCCAGAGGTAAGGGTTTCTTGCTTCGAGCTTTATTTTATATTCTATTCAACTCCTCATATTACATGGACTCTGTATCTTCAGTTCTGGAAATGACAGTACACAAAATATCCCTCTTTTCATCTAAGCCGCCTTAGAATAATATTTGAGTTAAAGTAATATTTCACATAGGTGAACTTCTAGGCNTATCTTGGTTGTGCTGTACCTAGAAGGAGACAGCTGCTCCAATTTCTTGTCTTTATATATTTGTACAGGACTAACTAGTGATTAGGCCACCAGTTTGAAAGTTTGATACTCCTTTTCAGTTCCAGAATCTTTTATCTCTAGGCATGACTAATATAATGCATCACAGCATTCAACTCATTCGATGATATTTTTGCTGAAAATTCTTTGCGGTTTGCAGATTAGCAACTATGCTAGCATTCTTTTCATGGGACTTTTCATAATGATTGCTGCCACGAGTGTTCTTGAGATGCAATGGGGAGGTGTTAGTATTGATGACTGGTGGAGAAACGAGCAGTTCTGGGTCATTGGTGGTGCCTCATCTCACCTATTTGCTCTTTTCCAAGGTCTTCTTAAAGTTTTGGCTGGTGTCAGCACTAGCTTCACTGTTACTTCCAAAGCAGCAGACGACGGGGAATTTTCTGAGCTTTATCTGTTCAAGTGGACATCTTTGTTGATTCCTCCTATGACTTTGTTAATTATTAACATTATTGGAGTTATAGTTGGAATTTCGGATGCAATCAACAACGGTTATGATTCTTGGGGTCCTCTATTCGGTAGGCTTTTCTTCGCCTTATGGGTCATTGTTCATCTATATCCCTTCCTCAAAGGTGTGATGGGCAGACAAAATAAAGTTCCAACCATCATTGTTGTCTGGTCTATCCTTCTGGCATCTATCTTTTCCTTATTGTGGGTTCGAGTCAACCCATTCACGGCAAGAGGTGGACTTGTTCTAGAAGTGTGCGGGTTGGACTGCGAGTAAGCATAAGAAATAGGAAGCATTATGTGGCTTCAGTGTAGAAAAGGTTGTATGAAAATGAAATAGAGCTCAAACTCAGGGAGAGAAGGAACAAGGGTATCTTTATCTCCTGGCAATTTGGTCATTGACGACGAAGATTTTTGAGTTGGAGAAGCAGAGAATGGGCTCTGATGATTGTGTATAAAGGGCAGAATAGCAGACACATTGATATTTGTTTTTTGCAAAGTGTTTCTTTATTCTTTTGATACATTTTAGGATTTGTGGCTTGGAGTGCTGTGGAGTTCCAATATTTGTAATACCAACCGAACATAAAATTTGTTGTGGTAAGCCACAACTCCTCCTTAATAAGGGACTTCACACAAAAAAAATGTTGTTGTGAGAAATTTCATCAGTAATTAAGAATTTTCATTCCACTGTTGTAATTTCAAGAAAGTGAAATTCCATATCCAGACTTTACCTGTCTCAGACTTTTATGTACTTGTTGGATGCTGATATCTCCCTCTAAATAACTTTATTCCATGGTTGCCATTTCAAGAAAGTGATATTGGAATCTGGAAAACTATATTGGTGAATTATTGTAGATGCTATTATTTGCATATTCGTACATACTGCATCAGTGTTATTTGTTGATGTTCAGGCTATAAATTTGCAACATTTTAAATGGGTTACGATCAGCTAGTTGGACATTGTTCTCTCTTTTTTAAATGCAAAGCTTTAAAGCTAAAAAGCTCATATTTATAGCGTATACAGATTTTTTCTACTTCCTCATTTTTGGATATATTATTGAAATAGTTAGCTTCCTCAAAATCTTTTGCATCAAAAGTCAAATAATGGAATAATTTTTGAAGTTATAAATAGAGTTTAGCTCACAGGTGGTTTGTGACGAAAATTACTTGACAGGTAAAACAAAGGTACCTTTGCTTCATAGCATTTCAAAGGGTTGTGATGAGTTACTTTTGCTGTTGTGTATGTCCAATTTCTAATTTTGAATTAACTCAGTAGTATATGGTGTAACTAATCCAAAAAGTATGCTTCGATCAGTTGAAACAGCTTAGCTTAGCTACTAAGTCAAACCCATGAAATAACATAAACATGATATAATTACAATCGTTTAGTTCTCACCACCTTCAAGCACAAACAAAACAAAAGCAAAAAACGAAAGTTGCTGATTTTATCTCATGTAACAGTAATATAGGCCATGAGATATGCTTAGCCATCAAATAAAAGACAAACGAAAGAAGAAGAAAAATTAACAGAAATGTTTCTTCTATTTCCATGGTAGGATTTGCAGAGCACGCCTCTTTTCTGATCTTAATGCTGTTAAGGTACCAATATTTCCCTTCACATTTGGATCATTTTCTTTCATGTCAGCTTTCTGGGATTGTTTGTTTGGGGTTCCATGTATCAGAATGGTTCTGACATTCTTCTTTTTAACAGTGGAATTCAAGTGCTCGGCCAAAGAAGTTTTAGCTACACCTGCTGGGATAAATGGTCCTTTCTTTTCAGCCAAGGAATTCTTTTTCTCAGACATCAAGGTATCTTCACCAGCAAAGCCTAAATAATATGACAATCCATAATTATTATAGTCAAAGCTAAAAAGTTCGAAACAAAACAGAAAAATTTGGTGGATGGAAGTTTACCTTCCTCAATAAAGTTAATGTTTCCACGAGATTTATAAGAGGGTGATACCACAGATTCTGTTATTTCATGCTCCTTTTTATCAAAAGAATACTCGTCCTGTTGATTAGCCTCGCAAGACTTCCCCTGATCACTTTCCCTCTGAGGCTCTTCAGATAATGCAGAATGGGAATTTTTGCCACTCCCTCCTGCGAATATTCCAGGCAGGTCCATTTGTGTGGTGAGAACTGAATCGTTAACATTCATAGACGTGCTCTCATTTGATTCAAAAACAGTAAGACTGTCCCTCTGAGCAGCAAGATCAACTTCCTTAAAAACATATTGACATTCATTTGTTGAAGCAGCTAACTCCCTGGTGCTTGCAACATTTTCTATCACGTTATGTTCTGGAAAGTGGAACTGCTTATCAGCAGGCAAAACTATTGAGATTTCTTTTGCATCTTCATCATTATTCGGAATGTTGTATTGGAAAGAATTACTGGTATTTCTCACTTCTAGGTTTTGTTCTTCATCTCCCCTAGTCTCCTCTAAAGTGATGAGAATCTTTTCCTGACTTCTTAATGTAGTGGATTCAGCATCAAAATCAAGAATTCCACTTTCTGAAATTCATAAAGATATAAGCAGCTCTAATATTGGAGAGAAAAATATTCAAGATATTTGAAAGTAAAAAATCACAAAATCTTAATAATTGCCTCTTTTGCTGTAAGACAAGGAAAATGGATGACCTGTATATACAAATTTCATGCAAAAAGAAAAGCTTTTTTTCTTTCTTTGTATTCATACAGACTTGATGAACTCACCAGCACTAATAGAAGTGCCATCGGTCTTCGTTATGCTCTCCTGAGTTATGTTCTCAGTTTCAATGTCACTCAAAAGCATGTTTGGTTGTTGGCAAACTGCATCAGTAACAGAACCACCTTTTGCTACTTCGTCTTCTGGAGATTCCTGAGATGTCATTTGATGATCGTGTGCCTGGCCCTCAGCAAGAGCATCATCTTCTGTGACTTCACCTTTCTCATGCAAGGACTCGAACTGAAGGACAGAATCATTTTCTACAGCATTGGCAGTATAAATTTCAGCATTATACATCTATTCAGGGATTTTGCAAATTAGAAAATGAGAAAGGTGTAACAGTAAATACTATATTCCCTCTATACCGTGTTCCAAGAAAATTAATTTAAAATGTCTCATGCATCTGATGAATTAGTTTCTTGTTCTTCCACTGCTCTGTATTTTAACCATTGCAAAATTTATCATTGCATCATTTGAGAATTCATTAAAGTATAATCAGACTTGCAATTAATCTTATACATACCGATCTGCAAATTTAATTTTGTATTGCAATTTTTAACATACTAATTTACCATAGGAGGTGGTTGAAGATTTTAAAGACAATGTAAATTAATTTTGCACAGAGCAACTTTGCAAAAACCGTATACAGATGTTATTAAGAGTGCTCCTTAGTGCACATGGTTCAAACATGAGTTGTTGCCCAAAATGTTGAAAAGGAGTAAAAAGATTACCTTTTTGCGTCTCCAGCTCTGTCTCTCTGGGAACACTGCCATCGTTTGTTTGAAACCATTTGAGTGTAGCTTCACCAGTATCATCTATCATTTCATTAAGAAGTTGACGATCTTCATACTGCGCAAAACTTTGTTCCTGAGAGCTAAGGAACTTACCACCATCCATATCCTTAAAAATATCTTCCTCACAACAAGGACTTTCCTCCAATTGCAGTGGACTTGTACCTTTTGATGGTGTAGCAAACAGAGGCCCCTCTTTAAATTGTTCATTCTCCTTGAACAAGCAAGATCCTTTAGTGCTACTAGAACCTCCAGAAATAATCTCTACAGTTAGTGGCTCTCCGGAGAATTCAGACCCTTTGCGCTTAGGCTCCTTACCAACCATTTCAGATGCAGTTGCAATCATTGCTGTCTTCAATTGACAAGTAGAATCTTCATCCAATTTGGAAGGACTTGTTCCTTTGATTGGGGTAGCAAACAGCAGCTTCAAGTGATCTTCACTATTCTCTTCATTGATGGCATCATATGGTTGGATGGACTCAGGACCGGAAGGACTTGTATCTTTGTTTGGTGTGGCAAACAGCAGTTTCAAGTGATCTTCACTATTCTCTTCATTGACAGCATCAGACTGTTTGATTGACTCAGGACTGCTCTTATGGGTCTCCAGCACCATTTGCTGTTCAGAAAATTCAAGTTCGTCGCATGCAGGCTCTGAAATAACAGCCGAAGTGTTTTTGTTTGCAATTTCAGAGTAAATATTCTCTTCCAGATATTCAGAGGTATATATTAGCAACAAATCCTTGCCAGCCACTGCTTCCTCAATTTCGGGCTCCTGAAGAGAACTTTTAATGTGCTCCAATGCTTCACTGTCTTTAGAAGGTTCACAACTTTCTTTTGCTTCCATGGTTCCCAAAGGACAGCCTTGACTTTTGTTCCCAGCATTGCTATCAATGCCTTTAGTCGAGAGAGCAAATTCTGCTGTATCCAATTGGCAACTAAGACTTTCCTCCAATTGAAGTGGACTTGCGCTTTTTGATGGTGTAGCAAACAAAGGCCCTCGTTTGAACTGTTCTTCATTCTCCTTGAGTAAGCAAGATCCTTTCCTACTCTCACAACTTCCATCAATGATCTCCACAGGTAGTGGCTCTCCAGAAAATTCAAACCCTTTGCACTTAGGCTCCTTACCAACCATTTCAGAAGCAATTGCAATCGTTGTTGTCTTCAATTGACAAGTAGAAGCTTCACTCAATCTGGACGTGCTTGTTCCTTTGATTGGTGTAGCAAACAGCAGTTTCAAGTGATCTTCAGTATTCTCTTCATCGTAGACATCATCAGATGGTTTGATGGACTCAGGACTGCTCTTATTAATCTCCAGCAATTGCTGTTCAGAAAACTCAGCATCGTGGAATGTAGGCTCTGAATTTTGGTTTACAATTTCAACATCGACGTCTTCTTCCAGAGCTTTAGAGGTATCTCTTAGCAACAAATCCCTGTCAGCCACTGTTTCATCAGTTCCGTGTTCCTCTCCGTCAACAATTTCCTGAACCCAGCTCTCAGGTCTTGTATTCATCTCTTGGTCTCTAACCATTTCTCCCGACATTGCAACATCTGCTGTCTTAGGTTCTTGAGAAGAAAGCTCATCTTTCCGCAATGGAGTCGTGCTTTTAGCTGATGTTGCAGACAGCATATTACCCTGACCTTCGTTGTTCTCTTCTTCAAGAGAACTGGATCCTTTAATACACTCAGGAGTTTCTTTGATGTTCTCAACTGTAATATTGTCTTCCGATTGTTTAGAATCCATGCTGTCAGACTCTGACAGATCCACAACACTTGGATTTGCAACTGATAAACCTGTGTGATGGGAGAGCCCTTGAGCAGAAAGCTCTTCTGTCTTGCTTGATGTTCCATCCATTTGATTCAGAGTCTGGGTATTGATGGGTAAAGTAAACAGCATTTTCAGTTGATCTTCTGTGCATCAGGAATTCAAGCTATTAATGCACAATCAAGCAACAGCTAATAGAAGATGATAGGAGGAGAGCTATATTTACTGTCCACAGTAAGAGATACTTCGGAACTAACCTTGTTCACTTTCATCACCATAGTTGAAAGCAGCAACATGTGAGATTACTGGAGCTATAAAAAAAATAAGTCTTCGGTGTTAGTATAACAAGCTTACACAAACACAAACTGCAATTAAATACATTATGGTTAATGGGGATAATTTACTACCTTGGTTGACTCCAGCAGGTCCATCTTCACATTCACCAACATTTCTTTCTAATCCACTGCAACTAAAAGTTTCCATTTCATGACTCTGACTATACTTTCCTTTGGTAGAAGTAGTCTCTTCATTAGTGCTTTTCACAGAGATTGGTGAGGCAGATAGATTATTTAGGTGTTCCCCTGTTACAATGGACATCTCTAAGCAAATGTTAGAAACCAAAGAGAAGAACAAAAATGAAAGTGAAGAACAACTGAGAAAATCCAGAGGGCAAACAGAAACTAGTTTTCCAAAAGATCATATCAAAAGAAAGGGATTTCAGAACCAACCTTGCTCATCCGCGAACAATCCACCGACAGGTTCACTCGGATTTCTTTTTCCACTGGAGCCAAGTCCTTCTCCCAAGATCATTGCTTCTCCACTCAATTGACTTCGAAAATGGTAAGGTTCGCCTCCAATAGATCGTGAAACAAATAAAGGCGTAGCAAACAAACTTTTTAGCTCTTCTCCGGCTGCATCAAGTTAATGAGTTAGACATGCTTTATGAAATTTTACAGAACCAGGAAACGAGTTTAGAGATACCTTCTTCGTCTTTAGATGTGTCCTTTAAAGGAGTTGTAGATTGTGACAAGCCATTGCCAGCAGAGGGAAAAGCTGCATGTCAAAAGATACTTAGTGATTAATGAATATGGTGAATGATGATTTAAAAAGAACTACAGGCAAATTGGCAATGACATTAACTGGCTTGTTACTCAACAACCTAAATTTCGAAATAGGGCTTCATAAAAGAACATAAATCAAGCAATAAGATGGCTTGGAAATCATATTAAGGAAGAAAAACTAACTGTTCTCATTAGCATGGCAACTGTGCTTGTATTGACTGCTTGTCTCATTCAACTCGATAGAAGTTGCTATTTCTACCTTGCTGCTTCTACCACCAAATGGTGTGGCAAACAAACTTTTCAAAATTTCTCCTGTAACATATAGTAAAATCAAGCTGTAAGTAACATATAATCTTTAGGGAAGAAGAAGTCCAGGACTAACCTTGGCCATGTTCATCACAATCACGGACAGAACTTTGAAGACTTAAGTTATCATTACCACTGACGGAAGCTGCATAAAATCACATAGCAAAATGTGGGAATTAAAAGTGAATTACAGCAATACATTACACAAATGAAACATGTAAAAAGAATCATTTTGAAGCTAACCTTGCCCCCTTCTGTTGAGATTCTCATCAAATTCTTTATTTTTGACCTCTTTATCCAAAGTAACTTTATTTTCTTTCAACCTTGAATCACCTTCCAAAGAAGCTTTTGATTCTTCTTTAGAATGTGAAACATCACAAGGAGTGGCAAACAAAACTTTAAGTTCTTCACCTGTTGCAACAAAAGGTAGAGAAATGAGCAAATTAAAGAGAACAAGGAGGTAAGTAAACATTATAACTACCTTGCTTCTCTTCATCACTGTCCACTAATGCGATGTCATCACCAAGAACAGCAGGTTCTGCAACTAAAATAGATGTCAATGGCAATAGTTCAAAAGCAAATTGGAGAAAAGGAAAGGAAAGATTCGATAACTTAACTGCAAAGTTTAATCATTATGAAGAGCATAACAGTCTCTCTTGCTTAAAGGAAAATACTAGTACTGTGTTTCAACAGAGCATCACAATGTAATATGTATGAAATAAAATACTACTATGTTTCAACAGAGCATCACAATGTAATACATATGAAATTCCTATGATCAGTAAGAGATGAGAAAATACTACTTACCTTGAAAATCTAGAACTGCTTTTATGGGACTTGAGACGGTTTTCTCGGAAGCAGCCGCCTCAACTGAGCCTTCACTGTCATTGTTGTGTCCAAGCTGCTGCTGCATACCTTGATCAGGTTCATTATACTGATCTTCCAAGTACCCGTCTCCGTTATCATTGCTGTTTCTGAGCTGCTCATCATCTATAATGTCTTCTTGTCCTTCAGTAGCCTCGAACTCTATGGATCTCACACCCTCATCAGGTCCATTTTCCTGATCTTCCAAGTACCCGCCTTCATTGTCATTGCTGTTTCTGAGCTGCTCATCATCTATAATCTCTTCTTGTCCTTCAGTAGCCTCAAACTCTATGGATCTCACACCTTCATCAGGTTCGTTTTCCTGATCATCCAAGTACTCACCTTCATTATATTTAGCTAGCTCCGAAGAAGTTTGGATACTACAATCAAGACAGTTCCTGGGCCTGAACGTTGATTGCTTTCCATGATCACAAGATTTCTCAAAAGTGAAGGCACTAGAAAGGCCTGCTGCTACATTCAAACATTGAGTCAACGGCTAGTGAAATGCAAAAAATAGGTAGAAACATTCATAACCAAACATTAACAAAGCATACCATCATCATCAGGTTGAGATATTGACGAGAATTCCTTAGTAGTCTCCTCCAAGTTTGCAAATCCTTCTGCATGTAATTCACCTTGAGTTGTGAAGGTAGGTGCATCTCCATCACATTTAGCAATACATCCAGCTTCTGCTTTTTCCATGGGAGGACCAGATTCAGAATTTTTTACTCCCATCTCATTGCTCAGATTGAAAGCACCTACACTGTCCAATGAGACACTACTAGACAACCCCGCATCAAACTCCCTGGCATAGTCCGTTACAGTTAGGTCCTGTTCACCAGAAGTTACTCCTTCAGTAACAATAAATCCAGTCTCTGATTGTTTTTTGAAACCAGACTCAAGGTTGTCCTTCATATTATCACTCTGATTTAGTGAATAGTTATCAAGAACTTCATTAGATAATCCTGTGTCAAATTCATCTGCATTATCCGCTGCAGTTGCACCAAGCTCCTTTTTGTCAAGAGTTAAATCATTTGGAACTGCATCATCAGCCAAATTGCGTGCAGGCTCCTGCTCACCATAAGTTACTCCTTCATCAACAATACATCCAGTTTCTGATTGTTCTTTAAGGCCAGACTCAAGGTTCTCTTCCATTTTATCACTATGGTGTAGTGAAGAGTTATCAATAACTTCATTAGATAATTCAATATCAAATTCTTCTGCATCATCTGCAGCAATCGCACCATGCTCCTGTTTGTCAGAAGTTATGTCATTTGGAATTGCATCATCAGCCAAAACAGAACTAGGACATAGGCTTGCAGGCGCTTCATGGTCAGACTGCAAAAGTTCCTCAACTACGTTCTCATCGGGTCTAGCTGCAAAATACGAAAGAATGAATTAGCATTCTTCACAAGAAAATGCATAAAATTAACTAATGATCAGATACACTACCGTTGGAGCTGAATGGATCACTGAATGGAGGGCATTTACATGTGGAGTTATTTTCAGGCGGAGAAGCATTTGCATCTACAAGTGGTCCTTTCTCCTTCAAATTTTCAGCTAGTGTGCTCGAGTCAGCAACTGCTTCATCCTTGCTTCCAGCGAGAACTATATTGACATCATTTTTAACAGCTTCAAGCTCATTCAGTCCTGATTTTGAGAAGCTCGTAGCACCTTCTGACCCTGAGATATCACAGTCTTTACTGTCTGACTCTCTGACTATTTCCATGTCCTCAGATGTAGGAGCTTCTACTTCCACATTTGATCTTTTTTGTCGACCCTGCTGCTTCTTTCCAGCAGTACTAGTCTTTTCAACAACTGCTGCCGCCTCCACATTTGTTTTTGCTCTACTTGTGGACTGTTTCAGAGAATCTAAATCTTGCAGGGCGAACTTGTTCTTGGTAGAACTTTTTTCTGGAACAGCGGTGCAGTTTCTCTTTATCAGTTTATTCTCACCACTTTCCTTCTTTTCATCTGAAACTGTTACAAGAGTGAGACTAGCAGCACTCCTTTCAGAACGTCTCCTCTCTTCTTGCACTGAACTGCTCAATATCTTGGTGACTACATTGGCTTTAGCAGCACTCCTTTCGGAACGTCTCTTCTCTTCGTTTACCACAGCAATTTCTTCTTGCACTGAACTGTCCAATATCTTGGTGTCTGCATAGGCTTTAGAAGCACTCCTTTCAGAACGTCTCCTCTCTTCTTTTACCACTACAATTTCTTCTTGCACTGAACCGTCCAATATCTTGGTGTCTACATTGTCTTTAGCAGCATTCCTTCCAGAGCGTCTCCTCTCTTCTACTTTATTTTCAGCAATATCATCTTTAGCCGGTACAGAATCTTCGACTTGTTGAGCAAGCCCTTTTGATCTCTTTAATGCCTTCTGGGGTTCTTCTTTTGTGCTTTTACCCCTTACCTTGTCATCATTAGCATCTAAATTTCTTTTCTCCTTTGCGGCTGCAACTTCATCAGTTCTTAATTTCTCCAAAGAAGGAACAACAGATTTGTGCCTATTACTTCTTTTGACAGGAGCTTCTCCCGGTTCTTCAAGTGTGATAACCACTTCAACAGTCCCTTGAGATTCAGTTGGCCTGTCCATTTTACACCGAGTCTCCACTGAAGAAACGTTTCTTTTCAAGTTAGATTGGTTTCTTGTTGTCATGCCTCTATCAACCACTTTATTTTCAGCAATATCATCTTTCGCCAATACTGAATCTTCCACTTGTGTAGCAAGCCTTTTTGACCGCTTCAATGCCCTCAGGGGTTCGTCTTTTTTACCTTTATTCGCCATCTCGTCATCATTAACGTTTAAGTTTCTTTTCTCCTTTACAGCCACAGCCTCATCACTACTCAATTTCTCCAAAGGAAAAACAGATTCGCGCCTATCACTTCTTCTAAGAGGAACTTCTACCTGTTTATCAAGTTGAGGAACCACGTCTGATGTCGAAGCTTCTACAGCCAAGTTAGAATGATTTCTAGTCCTGTCCCTAGTAACCATCTTATCTTTAGAAATATCATCAGTCAACCTTGCACCCTCTGCCTTACTAGCTAGCCTTTTTGACCTCGTCAAAGCCGTTTGAGGTGCCTCCTCCACCACCATATTCTGCTGAGACCTTGTGGTTGCTTTAACTTCATCATTGGCAGCTTCAACTGTGAATCTTGCACCCTCCGCCTTAGTAGCTTGCCTTTTTGACCTCTTCAAAGCCGTTTGGGATGCCTCCTCCACCACATTATTCTGCTGAGACCTTCTGGTGGTTACTTTAACTTCATTGTTGGCAGCTTCAACTGAAGATTCAACAAATTCTGTACAAAGCAGTTTTTCATTTCTCTCAATAACTTCCTTACCCCTCGTTCGGTTCCTTTTGATACCCACATAATCCTCAACTGATTTCAAGTTCCGAGACCTTGTTATCCGTTCTGCTGGCTTCTCCAAAACCTCATCCCTTACTTTAGCAACAACCTCATTTTGGACATGCGAGGTCTGAGTATGAGCAATCGATTTCCTTCTCCCTCCTCTTTTCATCTCCTTGGCTTTCGTTTCAGCTTTCATGCACTCCATTATCTGATCATCACTAGCGAATGTCACTTTCTTGTCCCTCTTCTCTGGATCAATTTCTTTTTCACTAGTACTTTTATCCAATTCTTCTGCACTCTCGTTAGCAATTTTCTCACCTTTTACTCTTCTACTCATCCTTAAACCTTCATTCACACCCTCATTTTCCTCCCTTCTTTCTTGTACTGATACTACTTCTTTGTTCCTCAAAGATCGTCTCTTGGTCATTCCAACTTCATCCTCACTCTCATTCACTAAAAGTACGCTATCTTTTGTACGCCTCGTCCTTCCCTTTTTCTCACTAACACCATCTTCCAAATTCATACCCCGCGACCTCGTAACCCTAACTGGACTACCCAAAATGCCTATCTTTACACCATCACTCCTAACACTCAAGCTGTTATTGTGCAACATTGACTTCCTCCTCCCTCTACTTTTCACTTCAACCGATTTTGTGAACTCGAAAATTTCATTCTCAGGACTAAACTTCACTTTCTTTAGTGTCCTATTTACAACATCAGACTCTCTATCATTCACAGTCTCATCGAAAACCTTTAAACATGACCGCCCTTGAGTTAAGAGCTTTTCATCATTTACCTGCCCATAATCACACAAATTTAACCAACAACCTAAAATTTCTTTTAACTCAGAAAACAATAAAGAAATACTCATTACCTTAATAATTGAAGAAAGTTTGTTGACCATTTCTAAGTTAGTTAAATTTGCAGGAATTCCATGTTTCTTGCATAGGGCTTGTAGTTCCTTCCTTTTCATATTATCAAAATCCATCTCTGCTATTTATTCATTAATCAATTCATTAATCAATAATAAGGTTAAAAAAAATTTGGAACAGAAACAGCGAAATTCAAAGAAAAAAAGAGCGAAAATTGGAAGGAAAATCATACCTGAGATTGAGAAATTTTTACAAATTGAACATGGGTGTTCAGTTTTCCTTGTTTATTTTTTGAATTTTTGGGTACTGTTGGAATTTAAGGGAATGGTAAGGATTTGAAATTTGAATTTAATTGGCTTTCCCGCTTCTCAAGCCAATACGACACGACTTTTTGTTTGGAGGATGAGGATGTCACGTGCAGAAAAGCGCGTTTGGGACTTTTCCGATGTTAGTTCTGGAGCGTCAAAATGGATAAGGAGCTTTCTTTTTCTTTTTCGATTGGATTGCATACGTGGAGGAAATCTAGTGGTTGGTGAGTGAGAAATACACAATCAGAATTGCAGAGTAAGCTTTATGTTTGAGATTTATTTCAAAGTTGCTGTGCATTTAAACCAAATTTAATAAATTCAGAACAAACTCAAAGATATTTACCATTCCCTTACCTTTCGTAGATCACAACACCTTTTTATTTATTGCTCCCTCTCCTTCCAATGGGAAAGGGCATCATCTTAGTGTTTACCCGAAAAACGGATGGAGTTGAATTTATACGTAGTTTTAAAGATACGTGGCATAACTTGATACAAATTGAAAAAATAAGTAGAGATATATCGAATATTGACCGTAAAAAAGGAATGAAATACAAACTCGAATTGAGTAGAGAATAATCTATGAATGAATAAGATGAACCAATGGCTAAAGCCCAAAAAGGGATAATATTTACTATATATGTGTGTATCTCAACAATCTTTGAAATGTGAAAGTGTATCAATGTCTGAATGTCCAGTGTCCCCTCCTTACAAATGGCAGTCACTCTAATATAATGGAGGAATCATCTTTTGGATATAATTAAAAATACATAGTGGGGATCCCGTGATAGATTAATTAATTAGTTTTTCCTTGATTTCTGTCGAGATTCTCTCACTTAGTGCGGCGATAACGGCTTTGTTGTCCCTTGACTCGAGCTCGATTAGTTTCTAAGTCTCGAGCTCGATATTGACTCGAGCTTTGGTTTTCGAGCTCGAATTTGACTTGGTTTCGGTATTTGATCGATCTCTGGGTCTCTGGGTCTCTACCTCTATCTGGGCTCGATGTCGATCTCGGCTGATCCCGACCTTGGTCGGTTTCTAGGGCTCGAACTGAGCAATCCGACTTTACGTCATAGCTTGATATCATAATGACGAACCTCGGTCAATCATGCCCCAAACTCGATCAGTCATACGAGGGCAAACTCAGTTTTGACCGTATACAGATAGTCCCCTCGTTTCTCAGAAAGAATATGGCGAGAAATGATATGACTTTTCAACCTCTGATTAGATACACACTGACGTCCGCGTTGAGCCCGTTTGTGACGTACGTGACAAATGTCTCGTCGGTTCAGTTACCAAGGCATTAAATGCGCGTCAGTCGATGGTCGGCCACTGTAAATTTTGAACCGTCATTGTGAAATCTATAAATAGCCCCCTTCCTTTATCATTTTAAACTTTTACTTTCAACTCTTCTCATTCTATCCTTCACAGTTCTTCGTCTTCTCCAAAATTATCTATTTCCAGGTTCTGAAAATTTCTTTGCTTGTTCTTCACCAAGCACCAAAATATTTCAATTTCCCATCTTCTTTGTTCTTTAAAAATTTAGATGGCCAAGATATCTAAAAATGTTCCTAAAAAAGGGTCTACTTCCTCATCTCAGTCGACCGGTGAGAAATCGGTGGTGGAGCCACGCCTTGAAGAACTCGTTCTCGAGGGATGTATTATTGATTATGATTTTAAAGTTGATAAACCCTCTTCGGTTGCCGGTCGATGCGAGCCGGTATCGAGATATATATGCTCGATACCAGTAAGTTTCCTTGATGTGGTGAAGAAAGATTGTAATTGGGTAGACAAAGAGGTCATGACACCGACAACGGAGGAATCAATCATTACCCACGTAGAAGGGTATGTGAGTGTTTACACTTACCCTTTCACGCTAGGTCCCCTCGATCCAGTCATCATCAATTTTTCAAGAAATACCAGGTGACCCTCGGCCAAATTCTTCCTTCTTTCTGGAGGATCATGATCTTGATCCGTTTCTTTGTGAGCAAAATCGATGGCCTTCCCTTCACCCTCGACCACCTTATAAGATTGTATAGTCATCGACTTTACCGAGGCGGACTGATAAAGCTTCAACGTCGTGCCACCAAGGTGTTCACGTCAAGCATAGATGAAGATAAGGATCGGGGCTGGATGGGCCGGTTTGTTCGAGTGAAGACCTCGGACCTAATCCCGGCTGAGAGTATGTTATTTCCCAAGAAATGGAATATGAATCGTGAGTGTGATGTCATTTTTAGTTTTTGTTGTTTTTACTTTTTTATCTTTTCTTATTAGTGTTCTTTTTGACACAACCGTTGCTTGGATGCCGGGTGCGGTTCCCCATCTCGAGAACTGGGTCAAAAACCTGGTCTCGAGGTCAACATTTGTCGAGTGCTCATGGCGTGATTTGTCGAAGGGTCGATGGGAAGCTCGTACTCATTATAAGCTTTCAACTTGGTCTACCAATTCGTTTGTCGTTCGAGGTGACATGTTTATTCGAAGCATGAGTTTACTTATCTTCTCCCTTCGCATGTCTCGGAAAAGATGCGGTCATGAGTCCCCCGTCTGGTGGTGACAAAGTTTTACCGCCTGTCTCGAAGTCATTGAAGAAAAGTAAGAGAAAAAGGACTTCGGATTCCAAGGGTCAAAAACCTAAGAAGAGGACAGTCTGTAAGCCCAAAGGAACCACAATCCCATTGACTATGGAATCTGTCTTGCGTCTAAGGGATGAAGAAGAAGAAGAAGAAGAAGATAACTCTGGAATGGTGGCCCGTGCTCGGGCTGGCACCGATATTTGTAAAGTTTTGGGACCGGTGGGGACTGATTCTACTTTACCCAGGTCCGACAAGGTCGAGGAGAAGACTTCGTACTAAGTTCCCGAGCAAAGGGGGACCGAGGATGTTTTACCTCGGGGTAACAAATCCGTCGAAGAGGCGGTTGATGATGGTGCAGGAACCGAGTTTGAGGTTCCCCGAGATGGAGGCGGCGGCTTGAAAGACATAATTGGGGCAATAGAGATAGGCGATTCCCCTTCTTTTCCTTCATTTTTCCAGTCTATGATACATGACGCCTAAGTTGTGGAGGTTTATCATGGGGAGGGACCCCATGGAGAGGAAGATCCTTTCCGTGGTTATTTTGTTGGAGTAGAAGATGCTACTGGTCCGAGCGATTTGGAGGCTTCGAAGAAGAGCTCAGGCAAGGCGGGGATTCTTCGTATATTCAACGAAGCTCAGCAAGCCCTGAATCGGGTAACTGCGCTTTCTCTTTGTCAACTTTCATACTTGTATTTTTCTTCTTTTGTATAACTCCTTTTTATTTTTTGTAGGCTTCTGCACTCTATCACGAGGCGTTTTTTTGATCCCGAGGGGAGCTAAGCCGGTTTGAAGCTGAAATTTGAGGGCTTACTAAGGAGAGAGATACCTTCAAGCTTCTCAATGAGCAGAGGGAAGGAGAAGCAAGAGGACTTCGAGTCGAGCTAGAAGCAACTCTGAAAGAACAAACCAATTTGTCCGAGCAGATAAAAACAGTCTTTGAAGTTAATGACATTGATTTGGACGTGAAGGCTAATTGTTCGGTCCCGCAGGTTTAGCAAAAGCTCGATATGATTGGACAACTTCGTGCCGAGGTGGATGCAGTGAAAGCGGGGGCTAAGGAGTGGAAAAAGAACATGGACCGCCTTGCTTCTGAAAAGAAGGCTGCTCGGGCTCAACTGGACTCGGTCAAGACCCAAATCCGAAGCTCGAAAGAGAGAGCCTTGGTACAAGCCAAGAATATCGAGGAGTTCCAATTTTGGTTGGGCTCAGTGACTTCTGATCGAGAGAGGCTATCCTCGGAACTGGCAGCGGCCAAATCGGAGGCCAAAATAGCCATGGCTAATGCTGATGCAATGGTGGTTGTTTACCGGTCTAATGCTTAAGCCGCTCAGGTTCGAGCAAAAGAGGTTGTCGAGGCTGATCAAGCTCGAGCAAATTGGGTTACCGAGCATGCTAAATGCCAATCTCGGAGGGAGACTCTAGAGGAGATTCGCATTCGTGGCTTCGATCTTACAACCGAGATCGAGAATACAAAAGAGCTCGAAGCCGAAGCCAGAGTGTTAGCCTTTCCCGATGATAATGATACCGGGAGTATGAGCGGTTCTAAGAGCGAAGGAGGTCTCGAGGGTAAAGATGTTGCTCCTAGAGAGGACTAAGTCCTTTCAGTATTTTTCTTCTTTCTTTTAAGACCGTTTTGGTCTTTTGAAGAAAAACTTGACCGGGTCGTGATGCCATTGTAAATGTTTTTGGTATATATAAAACTTTCTTTCTTTTATGGCTTCTAAAACTTTTGCCTTTCTTGTTAATTTATACAAAGGCCAAAAAGTGCCTTAGCACAGGATAATTACTTGAAGGTCCGAGTGAATGTTCGAACTTGAACTGAGATAGTTTTTAGACTTGACGAATAGAGTTCAAGCAAAATGATTTGCTCGAATTCGAGCTAAGGTAGTCTTTAGGATTTTCGGTCGAGTGAGAGTGATTTCTCAAACTCGAACTAGGGTAGCCCTTTAGGCTTTATGGTCGAGTGGGAGTGATTTTTCGAACTCGAATTAAGGTAGCCTTTAGGTTTTATGGTCGAGTGAGTGTTTTCTCAAACTCGAATTAACGTAGCCCTTAGGATTTACAATCGAGTGAAAATTATTTCTCAAACTCGAGTTAAGGTAGCCCTTAGGCTTTTCAGTCGAGTGAGTGTTTGCTCGAACTCGAATTAAGGTAGCCCTTAGGATTTATGGTCGAGTGAGTGTTTGCTCGAACTCGATTTAATGTATCACTTAGGCTTTATGGTCGAGTGAGTGTTTGCTCGAACTCGAATTAATGTAGCCCTTAGGCTTTATGGTCGAGTGAGTGTTTGCTCGAACTCGAATTAATGTAGCCCTTAGGCTTTATAGTCGAGTGAGAATGATTTCTCAGACTCGAATTAAAGTAGCCTTTAGGCTTTATGGTCGAGTGAGTATTTGCTCGAACTCGAATTAAGGTAGCCCTTAGGCTTTTCAGTCGAGTGAGTATTTG